GGAACGAGATCGGGAATTATGACGCAGTTATAATTAATTATTAGCGGACGCATCAGAATCAATAAATGTTGTGCTTACGCATTAAATTCAGCTTTTTAATAAGATAAAATGAATACTAACAATGAATTAGTTCGATATGGTTGAGATTATGGTTAAACGATATGATATTCAACAAACCATACTGCCATTGCCACCATGTATGTCATTACAATTAACTGCGGAGAGGCGATAACTTGAAGCGTCATTATTTATAAACACGGTCCTAATCAAGATCCTTATGCTTAATTTTCATATTTTTTCAGGTGATACAGGTGATACAATAAGCCATTTTTACAATCAAAGCAAAAAGTTCACTCCAATTACTTCAAAATCAACAACTGTTCAAGCAGTTGACAATTTTTTGGATCGTTTAATAAAACTTACTGAAGAAGACGACCAAATCAATCATTTTTTCAAAATTCTAACAACTTTGACTCCAGGTGATTGGAAAACCATTATTAAGCTGATTAAACATGATTTAAGAATGGGAGCTGGGACAAAACATATACTGGAAGGCATACATCCAGATAAAAAATTACACACGCGTTTCCTCGAAACATTTCACCAACAAGGACCACTTTCATGACAAAGGTATCTTTATTGTAGAATAAAAACTTGTAGGATGCGTTCAAGACTGATCAGTATTGCGGTGCCTTCCGTTGCTTTCCGTCCAAAACGTCAAGAATGAAGACCCAAGGGACAACATGAGACAAAACAATTCCAACAGTCGTCCTAACGAGGGAGCAGCAAGGCGTCAAGGAACAGAGAAAGAGAAGAAGCCTCGAAAGAAACTAATAGAGTGAATAAAACGCAAGAAGCAAAAATGCCGATTTTTTGGAAATTTGCTTTCAAGAAGTACGAGTAATTATAAATTTATCATGTGTTTATATATAAATAATAAATACCTTCAAAATTCCTAATGGAATGATATAAAATCAATATTTCTATATATCAGTGATGATAGTATAATATTCATTCACCTGATTTTATTTGTTGCTTTGTTTTCCAGAATATTTGTTTACGATACTAGCTGCATACAATAATAATTTGCTGTTTGAAAGCATTATTATTCGAATAAAAGGCCTATAAAATGAGCTTTATAATTAATCATGTGCAAAGATAGTAAAGAAATAAAAATAAATAACGTTATCTATTTTCTTTGATATTTTTATTTGCGAGTAAAATGTACACGAATGTCAATGTGACTCGTAATTATTTATTATTTAATATATATTATAATGTCGTGGTTGGAAAAAAGTTACGTTCCTGGCTGCCATTCACGTAAATGAGATAAATCTTTGCATTGCCATAAACTCCCGAGGAAAAACAGTGCTATATATGTAACAGTTTTGGAGTCGTAAAGAAAGGCCAATGCGGCTATGTTTTTATCAACGGCAGTTCTGCTTCGTCATAGTGCTCTAATTTTCTTCTCCTGGTAGATATCACCTATCAATGTTCTTGCAACTTCTAATATAACAAATTTCAAAAATGCAGTATAACTACGATAGTTCGGACAGTCGCTAATCCGGACACTCCATTAATCCGGGCTCTGTTGTGAGGCTAGCCGCATATTGAGGGCAGCGTAGCCTAGCACAGCACAACCGAGCAGAGGAAGACTTTTTGTAACGTACATGAACAAACGCAGTGCCGCATATTGCACGTAGTAACTTGTAAGGACTAGACGCAGGAAAATTTTCCCTCTGCCTGTGCTGCATTCTCTGTGTGAAATGAACACAGTTTTTTCGGGACTGCGCCCTCACTTGGCCCGAAGATTACACCAAAATATATAGAAATTGTCATTTGAATTTGATTATCATCAAGTTCACTTATTAAATTGAATTTCCCATGAGTGCTTCTTTTCCTCAAATAATCGTTTTTCCATATTGATTTTTTATGCCAAGGGATAAGAAGGACTTTTATTTTAAAATCGTTTCAAGAGTCAGGTAGGAATACTAATAAAGACGTATGTCATATATTATTATTACTTTCCATAGTTAAGATGTTTTATTTCATAAACTCAAATCTCTCCAGTAATCCAGATGCCTCGATAGTCCGGGCATGTCTCGGAACGATATCTGCCCGGACTATTGAAGTTATACCTACTATACATCTATTAATGGGGCCAGAAAACTTCCAATAAATAAAATTTATTTGCTTATGTACTATCTTAAACTAATCTATCTATAAATTTGTTGGTGCCATCCGCTTTGGACAAAAAAAATTCATTCATTAAGACAATAAATACTATTCCACTGACCTGTACCTGATGCTATACCTAACTATGCTTGCGTCAGCTGAAACAAAATACATGTACGCATCGCACATTGTTCACTATTTGCTATTATTATCATCAATTATGACTGACTGGGATTTCTTAAAAAAAAAAATGAACACCGTAATTTCTTGATGAGAGAGACGAAAATTTCTGGTATTACTATCCGGTCTTATATCAATTCAACTATTAGTGCGATGGCTTAAAATAATACATTCATAATAAAATACGCAACCTATACTTAACTAATCACTTTTTAATCGGGTGTTCTATGCTGAATCACTATATTCTATTCTTATAACATCACGTCTTTCGCCGGGGTTTAGTGGAAGAAGGTCCTGTTTATCATTCAGATGCAAAATACACTTTTTTGATTCTACGGTTAAGAACGTTTTCATTTCATGTTTTGTCAGCTGTTTGGGCTCTGCGTTTTGCCTTTTTCTACATCAAGGAATTAGGTAATAAGGCTCTCAGCATTGTAAGGATTCCAATGAATTTCTGTATGCTCGCATTAGTCACCGGAATTGGTGCTGCAGCTAACGCAAAATATCTATTTCTATCAGGTCAGGTCCCAATATTAAACAGCGCCAAAATTAATAAGAGCCAGAAGACACCAATGAAACGTTAGATTACTGTTGATTTGCTTGCTGAAATCTATGTTATCTTCTAATCAAATTTTTGACATGCACCTACAAGCAATTTGTAGTTATACCCTTCTAGCCAAAGTAAGTAGAATAGACAAGCAAAATCCCTATACTTGATAGTTAGGGCAACATAGTCCCACAACTGATGCGTACTAAATCTAAGTTTGATTTATTCAAAAAATTACCGATTCATTATCAATGACAATTCATTTCTAGCACCGCGAGTAATTTCGCACTCATCTCCATTTGCTCTTTATGCCTCCTTGCCTTTGCTTCCTCATGTTGGTCCTTTTGTCCTAATCTTTTAGCAAGTAAGCAGCTCATTGTGGCTTCAGTAGGTTTTGTGTTGAATAAAGTATAGCTATTTTTGTTTTTTATATAATTATACAACTTACTGCTTGATAACTCAGTTGAACATCCGCTATCGAAATCCACTGAGTTTTCTTTCTGATCTGACTTTGTCACTTAAAGCCCTGTTGATGTTGCTACAGCTTCAGGATCGTAGCATGCCTTTTTGGAAAAAAAAAATCATCCATATTCTGCAAAATATTTATGACTGTATTTTTTCCGTATTAGTAGAATTATTATAGATACGATAGTTCGTTTGCATACCTCAAAAAATTGTCAGTGTCTTCTATCATTTCCTAACTTTGAATTATGGTCTTTTATGTCCTTGTAGGTCTTCTTTCAACTTCTTATTTTTCCTGAGCATTGTGTTCCTGTAATCACATATCCTTTTGCAACCATCATGGCACCTACTTCCTCCCAGATTTTTTTTTTTGGGATTGCTTGCCATCATTGCTTGCCATCAGAACCGGATTATAGCTTAACTTCCTCACTGAAACTCTCTAAATCTGAATAAGTGTCGAGGCGGTATTTTTTTGTAGGAGGTAGTATAGTAATGATAAGTGGTCGTAGTAGCGGTCTACGTTCGGGTGTGAGCGTTGTGGAGTTGGAGCGAGGAAGATTGGGTGTATATCTACCGCGTCACCTCGTCCGGATCTACCTGACCACGTACCCATGTGACGGGCTTGGTTTAACAGGCTATCCGTTATTTGCGGCGAAGTCGCTCGCGCCTCTTCGCCCTCGGGTTCAATATCTTCGACTTCGTCGTCGATTTGAACCCTCGTAGCAAGGCGGCCGGCATTACTAATCACGTCGTAAAAGACTATATTGCTGATATATCTCTTTTCCGATTTATGACAGAAAGAGCCTTGCTGGAATTGAAAACGGCTAATTTGCTGAGGTAGCATCGTGACTTCCGCTACCATTTCATTTTGGGTATGTACGCTACCTTCCCTTTTGACGTACCAGTGGGAATTTCGCATTCGACAAAATGTTCGGCCAAAGACACAACTTTCATCCGAGTCCCATTGCATTGGCCAGTGGTTACATCTACATTCCGGAGTAGCATCACAATTGATCCCGGTTTGAGCTTAAGCTCGTGCGGGGGCAGCGTTGCAGACTCTACGGCATTGTCGATATCGATAGTGACGTAGAAATTATCCATCGGTCCTTCTCGATATCCGTCAATGCTGGAATAGATGGTAACTTGACCCTGCAATCGTTCAAGGATGAGGTCGTTGACGAAGTTGACCGCACTGTTTGTCGGACACAAAATTGCCCTTTGTCCGTCGATTTGCGCCTGGATATTTCCATAGACAAAGTCTATCAAAGCATCCAGGGAGTCGACCAGTAACCGAGCGGGTATTTCGATTAGGTTCCTTGGGGCGTGCGGTACGTCGGCCGTGAAGTCAATGTACGGCAGCCTCCCCTCGCCTAACCGCAATAGCCACTCAGAAAATGGGCAACCGAACGCTCTCGTTTCCGCAACGACCGACTGATTGACATCGTTTGTTGTCACGGCGATGGTCGAACGCATGTTTATTCTTAGGCGCAACTGAGTTACCCTTGGCCACAGATGCGAGCTTTTAAGGCACGCATCTGTGATTCTGCCGATATTGTCCCCATCGCCTTTCACGACAGGCAATATCTGGCGAAAATCGCCGCCAAAGACAAAACATTTGCCACCAAAGGGTTATCCATCAGCCACCACGGTTATCCATCAGCTTCCTAAAATATCTATCGATTGCATCCACTGCCAAACGCGGGGTCATCGGTGCCTCGTCCCATACAACCAAAGCCACATTTCGCAAATACCGAGATGTACCGTGTTCCAGAGGCCAGCCAGCTACAGTACGGTCGGCCAAATTCAATGGCAACCTGAAGGTTTTATGGACGGTTTTGCCGCCAATCAGAAGATTAGCGGCAATTCCGGTCGAAGCAACGGCAACAGTTGTCATTCTCATTGTCGACTGTACGTAGTGGAGTATCGTGTTATAAAGATACGTTTTCCCTGTCCCACCCGGTCCATCCAAATAAAAAACGTTGGACTTTAATTGAGAACGGAGAGGGCCAGATCTCTCGGATGGCGTGCACAATCTGGATAAAAATTGTTTTTTGATCGAGATTGAGCCTGGCCAACCCGTAATCTGTCACTGGTCCTTGCCCTCTAACATCCCTATCCAAATCGTCAACCTCTAATCCCACAGCAGTTCTCTCCTCTTCGGCGATGAGCCGTAAATCATCGTCGTCGAGGACGACTCCTAATTGGGCTAATGTCGTACCTTGTCTACTACACGCCAAAATACCGTCAACCACTTGAAAGCACCGCATGATACAGTCCCTATGATTTAAACCCCTACGCCTATAATCCTCGATCAAGTTCAATTTGTATTTGTGCCACAATCGCGGAATTTGCGCCAGATCGTCGTCTATCACGATCGCCCATATGGTCTGATAAGGGCTTCTGCCATACAGCGATCGTATCCGACTCCGTTCCTTAGCAATTTCTTACGAACACATGCAGTTTTAAAATCCGGGAACAGATCATTGTTGACCGTCCGTAAGTAATCGAAAGAAGTCGGTGCTCGGACGTTAAGTAAAAAAATTCTCAAGTAGAATTTATCTATTTGAGGATGGTTTGTACTGACATCGTATACGGTTCGTTCATCTTACTGGACGCTCTTCGTTTGTTCCATCGAGCATCCCCGGGAATTCCATATGTAATATTCGGGAATTTGACCGTATAATAAATCTCTGGCGTCGGACGATTCGGCGTTTAGTATAAAAAATGCTTCCAATTTCGAGGGTTTATCGAGAGCTGCTTGAACTTGTCATCGTCATCCTACTCGTCAAATACGTTACGGAAGCGAGGCAAATGTACGGGCAAAAGCGTGACTGCGTGCGATCTGTCGTACATTTTGAATTGAAACAGTCTCCAAGGAGCTTCTATTGAACTGACGTAGTGACATTTAAGATATCTCTGGATTTCATCTAAATCATTACCCGCGTCAACGTCTACTCTCATGGAGTTGATACCCTATCACCTCAAAGTTTACGTGACAATTATATTTAGCCAAAGTGTAGGCATTGTATGGAACGACGCGAATGTTATCGATGATCATGTTTTGGTTCACCAAATCGACAGTTCTACCATCTCTCGGATGTTTATACACAGGTCTTTGGTTACTACCACAATTTACTAGCGTACGTTCGGAAAATTCCATCGGAAATTTAAACCGGCACCCGTCCACAATACACGTTGCCTGTTCACGGTTTATCACACACATGCTATGGAGCTAATTAATGCTGGGCTACGCGCGCATATAACTCGGGCTGAGAAATTTGGTCCAGGATATATACAGAAACGATGCTTCTAGAACTCAATTACGTAATGGTAACTGAGCACCACACCGTATAATTGCTTTTGAGTAATGTCATTCATAAATTCCTTTAGTTTTGCACTGAAGACCCTACACTAAATCGGGGCAGTTTTTCCATCGTTGGTGGGGAGGCAAATTGGTAGATATTTCAGGCCAGCGTGGATTACAAGTGAAAGTTATTATTAAGTCCGGTTTGCCAAAATGTGCGATAACGGCCATGGCCTCCGAATACTTACGTTCCAAATTTCTTTCACCACCTTCGAACAAAACGGGCAAAATGAGTGGACGACCAAAATGAGTGGACGACCAATGCGTTCTGGACCGGCTTCCTCTCCGGCCGCCCCTAGTCCTATTATAACGATCAACAGATTTCTGGGCCGCAGTCCTAAACTTCACTTGGTTGTTAGACAACTAAAGTGAAGTATCCGATTCCGCTTGACACCCTGCATCGACGGGGTATTGTTGGAACAATTTTTAGCCGTGTTGTATGATACTGAAACCATCTCTAATTTGTAAGCGATACCGATAGTATTGACGGGCCGAAATCGGTTTTCGATCCGTCACAGTTCGCACATCCAAATTCCGTCCATCATCTCCACATGGAAATAGGAGAGGATACACCATTGGATCAGCGAATCTATTAACATTATTGATCACATGACAAAGTTGCTCTTCTTCTTCAGCAACTCTCGCCTTGGGACGAAGCATAAGATCTACCCGGAAAAGGGGCTCTTCGCCAACAAAGAGGGCAGAATTGTCGCTGCGGCTTTCCGGAAGGTTATAATTCCTCCTTTAACGATTCATTTCATCAAGTAGCCCTATATAAACGTTATCCAAAGATTCGCTCCTCGGGGGTCTCCTTTTTCTTCAGCTGACTGCTCACCTATCGTTATATGAACGCGCATATACGGATTGACGCGCCGGAGAACTGTTTCGATAAGTTAAAACAATTCTTTATCGACTATATAATCAGCTGCATATGCTGTTCCATGGGCCTTGGCTTCAGCGACGTCCAAAAAATAATATTTTAAACGCTGTTCGTTTAAATCTTGAGTGTTCGGAACTCTATTGAAAAAAATGAAAAATCTAACCGGTGACATCAAAACCCCGACCAGCGTTCGCGACGCGATCCCCCCTGGAACTGACGTTTTAAATAGGGCCATAGCGAACAGACCGTTTAAATAGCGAATTATTACACGGAATAAATCCCACTGTCTACCGTTGCCAGTAAATAAAGCCATCAATTCACGCGGAGTGTCAGATAACCGTGGCAACAGGATTGCGGCGTTCTCGCAACAAATACGCAGAGTTCCCTCACTCGTTCTGAAAGAACTTTGCACCACGAGCAGTGCAAGTTACAATCAGAGTCCCCAGCGAAAAGGGATGTCTGCATTTCTGTTCAATCAGCCCGTCTTCAGTATTTACCGCGTATTTCCAGGTCCTCTTGTGCGGAATATTCTCGACCCAAACTCTCGCTCGAGGTACCGGCGGTGGAGCAGCCGCATCTTCAGCCCTTAAATCGGGGGCTAGTTGATGCACGGCAATAGTCTCATTTCCTTGTGTCATTCTGACAGGGGAGGCAGGCCCTGCCATGGTCACACAAGGAACTTCGTCCTGCATTGGTGGCACATTATTGACCAGCCGTTGGTACTGCTCAGCACCAGGTAAATCTCGAGTGAGAACATAAGCTTCAATATTCGGCAGCCGGGTTTTAAAATTACACGCAAATCTTCAAGTACAAACTGACGTTGCGTCTATTGGCGAGTAATCCTTTTTATATCTCTCATACTTCTGGTGTTAAGTGACCTAAGTTGGCTTCGAGACTGAAAAGCGGAAGATATGATGCATGAAATTTGCGAATTTTGAGAATTGGTTGCGGGAATATCAATTCTATTCAATATAACAGACAAATCCCTAATAAGCGGCTGTGCATCGGTCGTGTTTACGCGTCCATGACTTCTGGTGAAGTAAGGGGACTTCGAAACGGCAGATACAACAGGTTTTTTAGCCTTAAAATAGCATTTACCCGTTCGAAAAAACCCAACAAAATGTGTCACAAAAAAATATTAATGAAATTACAAAATTCTCCACCACCGGAAAATATAATGCACGAATTTAAGAGAAACGTTGATAAAAGGCAATAAAAGGCTTTTTTGAGGAGCAAGATGTGACTTTTTTTAACGCGAATTGACAAATTGATGACATTAGGGTTTTCGTACCAGCAATACCTTATCGGTGTTATTAGGTGAGAGGATTCGCTCCACAATTTACTCTATGCTTCTTTTTTGGAAGGGAGAGATGTAGTTTCTCCGGGATTTTCGTCAAATGACATATAGTGTCGAAAAAGCTGGGGAACTCCATTCAGTGGAATCGGCTTTCTTCGTCTTGCCTTTGATTGGCAAATCTCAGTAAATATGGCAACCCTGCTAAATTAGGACTGAAGCTAGGTGCTCGAATATGTTCTTGCATATCCTGTAAACGTCAGGGTGACATCCGCAATTAGCGTAGGCTATGCCTATGCATCTTGCCATCAACCTGGGTTCATCAGATTTTCATTCTGGGTACATCAAACTAGCTAGAAATTCGTCTCGTGGTCGGGTGGGGATACCGTGAGAATTGGTGAATCCTAGTAGTGGTAAAGAGTTGAGGCTGTTCCTTATACTTGATTTTTTGGTATTGAGTATAGCTCCAAATATATGCATGCTATCTTTGGCAAACATGTTCAGAAAAGGTTTGTGTTAATACACAACTAACGAACTTTATTCAACTAATCCTATTAGTGAGTAATCTCCTTGAACTTTCAGTTTTAAATTAGTAATATTAGAACCGAGTGCAGTGTTGTTAGTAACACGGTTGCGTTATACATCGAATCTAGGATCTGCGTTTCGAAGAATCCTGAAGCTATGCCTGCGTGTTGACATTGGTATAGCTCTCCGTTGGGTAGGAGGTCTGGTGTATGCTTGATCGCATTGCGCATCCAGTTGAAAAGTATGTGTGACTGTGTAGACGTTGGGGGTCGATGTAAGTCTCGGGATAATCGATCGTTGGCATGTAGCCGTTCTCGAAATCGATGTAAGACTCGATATCATGTAGATCATCAATGACTCCAAATTCGGCTCTCTTATCAAACTGTTTCCAGTCTAGAGCAAGGTAGGTCTGTGGTGTCGGTAAATCTGACATGTATTGGTACATCTTGTACCATCCGCCTTTGAGCGTTTCATAACCCCATAGCATAGGACCGTCTCTGTTGACTAAGTCATTTACTAAAGGCCATAAAAACATTGTTTCAACTTGTATGAGTAGTTTTGGTACTCCAAAAACCATTCTTATTTTGTCGTCACCTTCGGCTTTTACAAAGTGTGATCTTGCGTGGGCTTGATTGTGATATTTCAAGTCATTGCCGTGTATGTCGGTGTAAATTCCATCTTCAATCCTGTGGACGTTTGTTCTGTTGTGAATAAATATCTCATTATACATATAGGTTATGAAATGAAAGTCTTCCATTGTCAATTTATTTTTCCTTGAGCGTATTTTTTTAACATCTGCTTTCCAATAAGAATCATTGGTATATGGCGCCTCTGCTGAAGTGGGTAGTGTCCAGGGGTAGTATCTGAGGTCAGGGAAAGAAACGGGTCTATACTTAATCGGTGGTCTGAACATTTTTGTTACTTCTGCGAGTGCTTTGGTGTAATGTTTATCCCTTATGATCTTGTCTTTAGATTCTTCTTCTCGTTTATAGTCAGCGATGAGAGCGTCTTCTGTGAAGACTGATCTTCTGTAAAGACTGATCTTCTGTATCCTGTTATTATAGCGTTCACATTAGCCGGTGTTAGTTCTTGGTTTAAAACAAAAACGACTGGGTTAACATGTCGGTAACTTAGATAAGTTGAGTGGATGTGGCTTTTCGCATCATCTTTCTTTGATAGTAGTTTCAGGTTTAACGAATCTATTGTAGTTGGGTGTAAGTCTGTATATTTAGTTGAAGCTTTTTAAGTTTGTGAAACCGATGAAGTCCTAAAGTGAATCAGGGTGCTTTGGGTAAGCTATTCTTTCTGGTTGATTTTTCTTCTGGAGCGTTAGGATTTCTTTTTCGAAGTAACATTGTTGTTCCATTTTGACAATGTGTACCAGCGTGGTTGGCATTTCTTCGATAGTTAATTTCGATGGATGCTTCTTTTTTCTGCATTTGTCCAGAAATCTTTTACAATAGTATATCACCCGGATCATTCTTTTTAGTGACGACAATCTCTGAATGATTTCTATGGTGTCTAAAACTGCTCTTTGAGATTTTATTGCTTCCAGTATCACTAGCTGAAGAGAATGGATAAAACAGCTCAAACTCATTTTAAGCTCGTTACAACCTTTAACCATATTGGCTTCCGCATCTCTAGTAAGTATATGGATTTTTGACTTAGAAATATTCCAGGAATTGAGCATGAATTCAAACCTCTTAGAAATATTTATTCCAGTATGACTACCTTTAACAAAAAATAAAAATATGTAAAGTAATAGATAAGAATGCACGTCAAAACTAGTCTGTGAGACCCTAAAAACACTAGCGACACACAACCAGGTAACGCTGATGTGGCTGCCTGGTCATCGAGGCTTAGAAGGAAATGAAGAAGCAGATGGCCTCGCAAAGGAAGGGGCCTCAACACCATACCATGGACCAGAGCCCTACTGTGGCTTAATGAAAAGCCACATCATGGAAGAACTCAATAAATGGGAGAAAGACCAACTCGCTCATTTGCTGCAACAACGTCATAACTCAAAAAATTTACCAGTAATAAAGACATATCAATGAAAATCTAGAAAAAAAGGGCTGCTAAGGGCTGAAACTTTGATATTTTATTATTTAGTTTAAATTTCTTTCATTAACAGACCTCAATTGATTAGGTCACACTAATTCGGGATTCGACATCGAGATAGTTGTAACATTATTATGTTTTATTCAAGGTTTTATAGCTCTCCTATAAAAACAAAATTTCCCAGTTATGACATTCTTGCAGCAAATGAGCGAACTGTCATCGTACTGGAGGCACACACCGGGACTCAGACAGTCTAAAAGGTTTATTACCCTTTCAGCAAAAAGAGCTGAACAGCTCCTAAGCATGAGCAGACCAGACATCAGATTGGTGGTGGGACTGCTCACAGGATACTGCCCAGTAAAATACCATTTAAGGTTAATGGGCAGAGCGGAAGACGATCTCTGCAGATTCTGCTCAGACTCAGAGCACCTGCTCTGCGAATATCCAGCCCAATTCTGCAAGAGGCTTAAATTCCTCGAGGGGGCAACACTGTCACCAGAAGAAGTGGGCCAACTAACACCCAGGAAAATAGCTTCCTTCGGCAGAAGTCTACGCTTCCTGGAGACAATTTGAGATGTAGAGTCATGTACAAAATATCTGCAAAGGTTAGCAGTGCTGAGCGGCTGAAAAGCCGAAACGACTCCCCCGCAATCTACAATCTACAATAGATAAGAATAATTGTTTCTTATTTCACTTTTCGCACTATATGTATTTTTAGATTACTCATAACATTAAAAGAGAAAGTAATAATTACCTGGGAAGTGTTCACAATTCAAAACAGCATTATACCTTTCTAAGGTTTTTGGTTCCAGCCCATGTCCGGTTAAACTAATGAAGCTTTCAGTATTTTCCTGGCAAGTCTAAATGTTAGATGTAAACGATATATATTCTGCTTTTTAATTTTGTCCCGAAGACGAGTATAGATATCCGGGAAAACATTGTTAGTGAAGTAAGTTCTTGAAGGCATGGTATACAATGGAAATGCGTGGAACATCAAACGCTTAAATCCTTCATCATGGACGATTGAATAGGGCTGATAATCCAAGCAGATCATCTCACCGATTCTATAATGAATTTGCATGGTTAATATCCCACTTTTGCCTTTTCTCTAAATAGCTATGAACGGAGAGCTGCTTGATGTCTGAGGCTGAAGTAGATGGAGTGTTGCTTTGAGATAAATTGGTGCTTTTCTTCTGCATGTTGGTTTCTTCCAATTTTTTATACTCGTGGCTGTGTATGTAGACTTGAAATGTCCATATAAAGGACTAGTGGATGCACTTTTCCCTTTGCCACCCCTAATATTACTTATTTGCAAATTAAACAATTTGCTTTAGAGGTGTCTGCTTCAGAAATGGTAAAATATTTCCAAATTGGGCTGGTTTGTTTTGGTTTAGGCATTTTTCCTTTTGAATTTGTTCACGAAAACACTAAAATTGAAATATCCAGTAAACCCGGAAAAACGTTTTCAAGAAGCTAGGTTATGTCAAATTAGGTTAAAATACGGCACTTCGACTTGACACTATTGACAGTCTTGACAAATCCTTACCTCCGGCCGGAGCAGTAACTCCGGATCCGGCTTGTTGGCCGAATTTACTGACTCCGGCCTCCTGCAAAATCTTTTCCTCCGTTGCATCACTACTTGATAATATGTTAATAATTTACCTATCGTTAATGGTCCAATTGTACCAACCAAATATAAGCGTAGATTCGCCAAATTAGGCGAGGGTGAGTGGAGAATAGGCAGCAACCAAATATAAGTGTAGATTCGTCCAATAAGGCGAGAGTGCAGAATAGGCGGCAAGCAAGTAGATAGGTTTCTAAAAGAAAAACAGATGTATTTTAAACAGCACACAATTGATAATAATTATGTTAATCTACGTCGGTGTCATTATGACACATTTAGCATTGTCATTTGAATGTCATTAGGACCTTCATAATAGCACTAGTGCGTTTAAGAATTCATAAAAACACTCAATTTATGAAATGAAAAATATACAATAAAAAAGTTAGTTACTAGAAGAACCTTTTCATTGATGCTGTCTCGATATACGAAGGGACGCTTTTGAATTCAGAATCACCAATATTAATATTATTTTCTACTATAAAACTGAATTTACGGCACAAAAATAGACTTCCATATTGAAGTTGCCAAAGTCAAAATTCAAAAAATCAACAAACAGGTTTCCGACTAGTACGGGCACCTGCTAAATTTTGAATTTTAATTTGAGAAGTTTTTGCTATTTTAAAGCAAATCAAATCTAATAATACCATTGTAGATTAAATTTTGAATGATACACGTTTGATATGAACTTCATTAATGAAACTCGTGTAACTAAACCACTCGGCTGACGCCTCGTGGTTTAATGTTACACGCGTTTCATTATGGTGTTCATATCGAACTAGTATCATTAATAACTATAATAATTTACCTATAAATAATAATAAATAAATAAATATTTTATTTGCCAAAAAAATCTATATACAAGGTGTCCCCTAAGGTCGGCTAGGTACGATATTATAGAGACCTTAAACCTTACGTAACTTGCAAACGGATGCAGATATTGAATTGCGGTTTGCGCCAAAATGTAGATATTTTTTTGCTCTTTAAGCACAGCAATACAAAAATAATATTATGCCATTTGGATTTTTCATGAAAATTAGAAAAAACTGGATCTTGAATAAACAGCGCCCTCTAGAAGACGCGGTGGGAACTATCGACCTCGAACGAAGTGGTGTTCTTGATAACAATGAAATTCTCTTGCAAATATACCCAAATTGAATGAGTTTGAATGAGGGGTATGGAAGATACAGCAATTTCTAAAAAAAAATTTTCACCAGCTTCCCCCACTCTTATTACTCAAGATACGAAAAAAAGCCTAATAACCAAACTGGCGCAAAAATTAATGAACTTTTGATTTCTGTTGTTAAAACAGTATCTTAATATAGCGATTTCTTGAGAAAAGTTGAATTTTTAGCTATATCATCGTAATTGCGCCCCCTAGCGGTCATCCTAGAAACTTGAAAATAATTTCCATCAATTTCTCTTGGCCGAAAAAAATCCCGAAGCCGTAAGGTCTATGGTTTCCATAATATCGTACCTGGCCGACCTTAGTGGGACACCTGGTATATAAAAATCAAATTTCACGGGGTATCCGGATATGCGCTCCAAAACCACTTATCCGATTACGATGAAACTTTGGTAGGTTGTTATGGCCATCCCAAAGAAGGTTTGTGGATAGGTTACGCATCTCGGAAAATTATTATTAATTATTAATTTAATTGTAAACAAACTCATTCACATTACATAACCCAACTTTTTTTGACAGCATGAAACAACGTTGCCATATTTAATTTATTTAGGCTTGCATTCAACCGACGTAACTTTATTATTTTTTGAATTCAAGAACGGCTGGACCGATCTTGAATTAATACCACGTATCTCTATATAAGGTGAATTCGATTGACCCAGATTAGATCGATTTGGGTTCAATTTAAGTGAACTTCTTCTGATCTAGATCATTTTTTTGTTGATGAGGGTGCACTGATCCAGCTTGAATCCAACACAGTGTGGTTCACTTAAATTGAACCAGATCGATCTAATCCGGTCAATCGAATCGGCTCTAGAGGAGAGTGATATAGGCTATTTTTTGTCCCGAAAAAAAAAAAAGTTCGGTTGCGTAAAACTCTGATACACTGGAACGCCTATAAACAGCCCGGGGCGCTCTAGAGCAGCTCTGGAGTGCTTAAAATGCGTCACTGAACTCACTGGCAAGCGACTATGATATCGGATTAAAAAAAAAATTAAATAGAAAATCAACAACAAAATTTGAAAAGAAGTGTATTATTTCAAAATGTATTTACATGCTGGCAACGCAGCCGGTCATTAGCTAGTAATAAATAAATATAAAAATATAGCCTAGTGAAACTAATTTATTGTTTTTTGGGGCAAATTAATTTAAAAAAATGCACTAAAGACGAACCTTGTGCGTGGGTAAACCTAGGTATCGACAATCACTAATACTGGTTGTATGTGGCAAAATCCATTCTTTAATAATTTTTTATAGAGTGTCTGCATCTCTTTTAGCCACAGGTACAAAAAATAGTTATTTATGCAACAAGTGTGTAAAGTGAATCTTTTCACGAATGTGAATTTTGACGCAGGAGCCGGAGGCGAGTGCGACAATCACATGAGTGAAAAAAGATGCTTTACGCACGTGTTTCATACAAAATGTTTTGTATTACCAATCAAATATGTGTAAAAAAATTAATTTAGAAAAATGTGAAGAATTTTCACTTTACGCACTTGTGCGTGAAGTAATTTACCAGAAAAATGCCAAATTGACAGTGTCAACATTTGTCATTGACATTACTTCACGCACTAGTGTGTGAAGTGAATTACTTTACGCACTAGTGCGTGAAGTGAAATTTTACGTCTTCTGGAAAGTGCGTAAAGTGAGTACTTTACACACGGTAGTAGAAAAATATATTTTTTGACTTTCTGTCAAAGCCACCAAACATCCATTGTCCCTCTAAAACTCTGCCCCGATTTTATTTTTATTTTTTTTTTCCGAATTTAGCTTCGTCTATCTCAACTACACATCCAGATCCACCCAGTTTTTCAGATTTCTCTATATACCATTGTAAACAAAATTCCCAAAAACTGTTCCATTTCGGTGACGTTCGTGTCTTTATTTTGTCATTCTTGATATGGTTTTTTGGTTTGCAGCGCCAGTTCTAGTAGCAATATTTTGAGCTACAAATCTATTGTGCTATTATGTTGTTATCAATAAAGTGTTTGAAGAAGGTTACTGGATCTATTCTATGTAGATCTTGTATAAAAGTTGGATGAATACCGGCAGTATATGATGGAGTTAAAACAAAATTGTTTCTGTCACCAGCCACAGGTTCCCATTTTCTCTGATTCACGAGATTGGACAAGGGGACATCGTCGCTGAATGAATAATCGAATTTCGCTGGAGCTGCGACATCATCTTCATCTTCTGAACCTGAATCGGAACTATCACTATCAGCTGAATAGTCTTTTTCTTCTTTAGAGTAATCGGAGAACCCTGTTACTTCTTCCTCTGACATATTTTCGAGCTGGGCCCAAAGCGCAACAAGCTCACGACCTTGAATACAGATAAGAAGAAGGAGGTGCTGAGAATATTTTTTTATTTACATGACACGATTTCGTTGTTGGGTGATCCCACATTTTTTTTGTTTAAATCTTTTATTCACTGCTTGCGGAACTCCAAACGTTCCTTTGCGGAACCTTGGGGTTCCGCGGAACCCAATTTGAGAATCACTGATCTAGTATGTGCTCTTTGGCTATAAGCTTTTCTTCATGTTTTTGCACGTTTGCAAATATTCGCCCAATCCTCGCTTTCCTGTTGACATTTCGTTTAATTTCTGCCTAGCCAGAGCTTCCACATCTTTCAACTTAAACGTCGTATTTCTGCCGGCCACCCAGTTTTTACCTGTAGCCCAAATTTTTTCAATTGGGTTAAGTTTTGGGTGATAGGGTGGCAAACGCAAAACACTGTGGCCATTACTCTCCATTAATTCATCCAACTTGTATTTTAATAGATATTTATGTTTGTTTTGCGTTATTAATGCGTATAGCTCTGGCTTGGTAAGATGGTCATCAAACGCAATATTTTTTACTGTAACCACCACCAACACCGATTTTTCGGGTAAATTTGGTATTAATTGGCTCTTGACCCACTTCAAAAAAATTTCATGGTTCATATCGTCATGATAATTACCACTTTTTGAACCTAAAACTTAAAAACATATATAGTTTTACACGTTATTAATTAAATAAGTCAGAAACTATACTAGAACGAAATATCAATAGCCATAATTAATAAAACCTTTTTCACCACCAGCATGGACAATTATCAATCTTTGCCCTTTCGATATTGGTATTCTAATTCCTTTACCTGATGTGTGACTACTGTGTAGATAGGTTTCATTTGTGTAGGTGTAGATGATGGGCCATTTTTCATTTCTATATTTGATGATTTGCTTCAAATAATGGATTCTTTTTAGCCTTATCTCGTATTTTTCCATTAACGCCTTCCTATTGTCATCAGACTTTGTCCATCTGCAAGAAAAAAGAAAACAAAATAAAAATATTGTCACAACCTGGTTTGTTGCAACTGGGGCTCGGGATCTTAGGGGTGTTATTGAATTAAAACAATAGATTTTGTACAAAATTAACATTAACAATTGGCTTAAGAAGGCGCATCAAAAAATTTTGACTTAAAAATAAAGTGCTTTACAAAGTCAACTAAAGTCGTCATGGCAGAGGAGAACTCTTTGTCGTCCCAAAAGAGCTGATTGGAGAGTTATTTATTTACACTAATCGTTCAGAACCTCTAAGCGGGCATTTGCGAACAACAAAGACGCTCAATAAAATAAGACAAAGATTCTATTGGGAAAAACTCCAAAAAGACGTGGAAAGATTTGTAAAAGGGTGTGCAGACTGTCAAGCAAGGAAGAGACAACAGAATTAAAACCTATTGGTTTGTTACACCCGATCCCAGTGGGAATACCATTCGAAAAGGTGGGCATTGATTTGTTGGGACCATTTAGGAAGAGCCAAAATGGAAAAACAATGATTGTCGTCGCTACAAGATGAGCAGAAACAGAAGCGCTGCCTAGTTGCAGAGCAGGCCCTGTACCAAAATTTATACTCGAGAGAATCATTGCGAGACGCGGAGCCCCGAAAGAATTATCAAGCGACAGAGGCAAAGTGTTCAAATCAGAATTAGTTATAGAACTTTTGAGAAAAATGGGAACCACAAAACAATTTACAACTGCTTACTACCCAGCAACGAATGGTCTGACAGAGAGATTCAAACTTTAGCAAACATGATCTCAACCTATACCAACACCAATCAGACAAATTAAGATCAAATCTGTGAGACCCCTATCTCAGAAACTTAGATTGATGTTGAAATTGGCGAGCGGTAGCTTTGTTTCTGAGTGGGGACACAGATTGATGTGGGTCCTATTTGCGGGGGGTGAGAGTAAAACACAACTGTGGATATTTATTTCAATATGGTTTTATTAATTCTTTGTTACAGGCATCGGTCTAGAAATGGACTCTAAATTTATACTCAAACCCTAACTTTAATTACGCTAGATATTCCTCAAGTGCAAAATTCTTTTAGAGCTAATTGGCTGATGAAAATCTTCAATATTGGATAAAAGAATTTTTCACTTAACTTGTCTAATTTTTATCAGTCAATATAATAAAACTTTCATTTATTGTTTTCCCAAAACTTTTACGTTCATGTACCAAACTTATTGAATACGCTCTAAATCTCCTTAGTTAGATCAAACGAAGTATGCCTTTAATTACAACAATTTTCAGTGACTAGATTATTCACTCTGAACAACATTTACAAATATTTACTTACTTAAATCAATTCTAATTTCCTAACTACTGCCAGCACACGCCTAATTACTTTTACTTTCGCAAATTAAACCCGTTGTTCCGCGCTGTCTCGATTTTGTCATTGAATTCTGACTATTTAACTGGACTCGACCGGATTCTGACGTTTTCACTGTACTAACTCTTGATCGCTTAGTTGACAGGACTGTTCGGGAAGCTTTCTGACTGTAACTGACCGACTGGACCGTTGATCAACTTTCGACACTGGTCTCTGCTTGCAGAACCGGCACTGGTCATTCCATTTTGATTCTGGCTTTTTATATCCAAATTCCCCCCTGCTGTTTCCTTTATTCCGGACCGCTTTTGACACTCCCTAATTTATGAGCATCTGTGATTTTTGGGCCGCGTTTTCTTTGATCTTTGTGCCGCTTCTTTGTGTAATTGCCGACGGCCTTGATCTTCTTAATTTGGGCCTGCGGCACGTGTATGATTTATGGCTCGGTTATTCGGCATTCCGTGTGATGAAATGTTGCATCATTTAGCAGGTGTAAAGTTCCTTGAGCTTCTTGATCTGGGTTAGGCAATAATTCGGTCATTGCTTATTTGTTAGTGTCTGTCTTTAGGGATTTGATTAGGAATTCGGAGATTTTGATAATTTTCGGTTCCTTGTTCTGGATGATCCATTTATATATGAATATGGAGTTTGAGGCATGTGTGGTTTGAGTCGTTAGTTCTCTGCCGCCGATGTTGGTTGTTTAACAGGTGATTATGATTCTTGATTTTTTTGTTCACAGTCTAGAGGGTGGACAATTTCAGCGTCGTTACAAATCCTTTCCCATGTTACTTTTGCATATAATACGAGCAGGAAAGACACTGCCACACTTTCTCCATTTATGCTAGTATATGGAAGAAAGCCAATCTTACCAATAGAAGCCACCCTTATGCCTCCCCCAAATCCTAGATAATCATGAAATCAGAGAAAACGCTCTTGCAGTTCGGAACTTGGCAGTACAGAATATTAATAGACGACAAAATGAGATATGACGCCAAGCCTAGACATATTGAGTATAATATAGGAGATCAAGTAAAGATTTTCACACCAGTTAGAAAGGTTGGTAGAAGCGAAAAGCCCTTATAAAGATGGTTCGGACCAATCCTACCCTATTACGATCCATGCACCCCAGAGGCTATCCCACCGAAACGGTAATAATTTTTTTTTTGTGTTTTGTTAATTGTCTAAACTTTATTTTGGAGGTGAATTATTTTGATTGTAAGAATTATATTGCCAATGTTACGCAGATAACGCAGTTCGTGTGAATTAAAACAAATATTAACCAAAGTAGACAGATTAAACAGCGATTCGCTTACCCTAAAACCGGGCGTCGGAGTCGTCGGAAGGCGACAGAGGCCTTGGCATTGGCCGCGCTAAGCAAAAGGGTACGAAAACAAGCCATTTTTGAATCTCCATCACCACTTGCATATCAGTGCTCCCACACCGCGGACAGCACGCTCGCACCAATCCCGAAGCGGGAGGCACGAACTCGAGGGCCAACGTATCAAGGAAAGGTGTTTCAATTACATACATCCAAGTACAACCCATACAGGAACGCGTACCCCTGTAGCGGATACCGAAGCTCATGTTGGACTGAGAACCAATATGAACGTCGAAATTTACGCTAAGCAAAACATCAATATTTTATATTTTGGGTTGGTGAACTTAATTTGGTTGCTTTCTCCACTTTTCGGATTTTGTTCAATGCACTATGGATATTGCCTAATACTGATGACCGGTTAATTACTTAATCAGAAATCAATGAGGCAATGAACTTTCGTCAATTAATTGAATTTTGAAATGCTACTGAAAATTTTACAGCAACATAAAATGTTGTTTTTGCAGATTTAAAATACATACCTAAATCTAATTTGTTTCAAAAGCCTTCCTAGGGAAGAAACACTAAACTCGTCGTGAATAATGGACTTTCAGTTTTTCCAAAATTACTGCAATCAAAAAAGTATAATTATTAATATATTCATAGATTTATCAGTAATATTTTCCACAATTTGTTGCGCATTAAATTATAATTTTGGATTATTTTTATGCCATCTACCTTTAATTTGGGTAAGTATAAGTAGATACCTGAAAGGGTAGTGGTAGATTCGGTCCCACCAGGTAGCAGATTATATTAAAAATTGTATACTCATTTATCAGTAGGTAGTACAGGGTGTCTGGTTATAATTTTGATACCCCAAGTGTAGCTTTTACCTTTAAAGGTAGATGTTAGGTATAAATACAAAACAAACAGTTTTAACAAAATTTTATAGGTAATTGGGAAGTATGAGCTTTTCCGAAAATAGTAGTCATTAGTGAATGAAAAATATAAATACCTGAAATGGATAGAACTATTGTAGCCGATACTACCTGGTCAATCCACCCTTATTTATTAAATACTATTTCTTTATTTTTGACCAAGAAAATTTGGAAAAATGTTTTCTGAAAATAAGAAAAACATCTTTTTCCTAATAAATTCATGCTTGTTAGCAATGCAAAACATGGCCGTGAAGAATATTTTTGTTTAAATTCGAAAAATATTATTCTTATTTGATATTATCCCATAATACATACATTTTAAGAGTTGCTCTTCTTTTATCTACCAGATAAAAATTGTAGATCACTTCTCTTATGGCCTTT